CCATAGCACAAGAATGAATTTTGTTGTCATTCTTCTATAGGGGTAACTATGAAGAATTGGCGTTGTCCTCATGGATTCTGCAAGAAAAAGCAACCAATAGTAAGACTTTTGGAAACGTTTTTATTATAGCAGCAAAGGTTAATAGTTGTTTTCAGCCAAAACCAAGAATTACGCATTAGAAAAAGTTACCATGTATTTACCATCAAAATCCCAAGAGTTCACACGGTAAAAATAAGGGTAAAAGTAGATATTTTGGAGCTTACTACTGACAAAACACAGAAGTCACTATCACTCATATCCCAGAGAATCAGAAATCGTGGTATTAGCACCTAACAGAATTGTACCACCAAAATGCACCTCATCGTCCTACCTCACACGATACCAAGCATTTCCTTCAGTAAATTTCAAATTTTCACACGTATCAAAAACCCTAAAATTCCCTATAAAAACCACTCCACTCATTGGCAAAAACACACATAAAAACCCTAGCGAAGCTCTGCGAAATTGAATCTTCAAAATACCAAACTCACTCAAAAGTTCTTCCTAAAAAGTTGATAGAGTTTCACACTGAAGCTCTAGCCAGCTTGAACTTAACCACGTCACACAGAACACGAGCAAAGAAGAAGGAAAACAGGAAAGAATAAAGCGTTAAATACCTACCTCGCGGATTCACCATCGGAATAGCTCAAAGCTGGTGAGTTCCCTTTTCGTTTGCATTTCGCTTGCTTTTGTTCGAGCATCATGATTTGTCTGCTTGAATGTATTATTCTGTGTAGCATTTGAACTTTGATTTATGGTTTTCTTTGCTACGGGTGAGCTTTAATTTTGGGTTTCATTTGCTAATTTGATTTGGGGTTAGGGATTTGTGAGTTGATTTGGGATAAATTTCAGAAAGAAGAAGGTTGAATGTTTAGAGAAGATAGGTGTGGATGAAGAAACACGGTGAGAGAGATGGAGAGAATGTTTGTTTTATCGAGTGAGAGAGAGAGAATAGAAGGAGGGAGGCGGATAGAAAACGGTGAGAGAGAGTGAGACGTTTGAGTGTTCCGAGGGAGAGAGTTTATTACTCTGACTTGTTCATTTTCTTTCCGTTAATAACATTAGTTTCACGTTGTGAGAAACGAAACCTTGTATTTACTCCAATAAAGCATGCGAACAGTAGGATTTTTAGGATGGTTTTTAGGCTGCCACGAGTGAGTAAAGTCGTTAGGCCTATAGGATTATGTTGATATTAGTTTAATTAAAATTTAATGGGATTTAATGGGTTGGTTTTAGAAACTAATTACTAATATATTATTAGTGATATTTTAAGTGATATTATTACTATTAATATTATTAGTTTTATTTTTTATTTTTTATTTTAAAATTATTATTATATTATTTAGATTATTAAAATAGTTAATTATGATTTTTTCACTAATGTCAAATATTCCTAGTTTTGATTAAATAATAATTATTTTAATTCAAATTGTTCATTATATATATGTCAAAATATTTTTTTAATTAAATCACGAAAGTAGCGGGCTTTTGGGGTCTAGCACTCCTTGGGTCCTTGGACAACCGCTCTCGAGGCGCACGCCTTTGAGTTGTGGTTGTTCCGTCTTTTGATTTTCAAAACCGTTTTTCACTCAATTCAATTGAAATTTCTAAGAGATATTATTAGTCAATTTTTATTTGATTATATATTTTTATAAGAAATTTCCAATTATTATTTTTAAATAAATATATTTCAAAACTATTAACAAATAATATTTTAAGTATTGAAAAGCTATACTTTATTAATTGAGTTAAAACTTTTCTAAAATATTAAACTTTTCTCAAATCAAAACTTTACAATTGATTAATTTATTTTATATATGAAAATTAAAACTATTTTTCTTAATTAAATTAAACTATCTTCTTAAAGCAAATTTTAAAACAATTGAATGTTGGGATCTCGTCTTCCTTGGATTTTTAAGCGGCCGCTCTCGAGGTGCACACCTCGAGTCGTGGTCGTTTCGTCTTTCATCGTCAAAACCCCTCAATATTGTTTAAACCTTTCAAAGTAGGCAAACCCTAACCCTAGCCATACGCCTACCCTAGTTTAACCCATACGCTAATATTTTCAAACTATTTTCCTAATTAAAATTACGAAAGAATCAAGTTCTTGGAGTCGCGCATTCCTTGAATTCGAGAATAATTACTATCGAGGTGTACACTTTGAATAGTATATCATACGAACTTTCGTTCCTAAAACACTTCTCTTAATTATTTGGACAAGTACTTTCACTGTCCAACAAACATATTTTACAATTAATGGAATGAAAAAGGTATCGTTGGGATCTAGCATTCCAACGATATCCCGACTACTTGGTTACGAGGCCGACGTCTCGCCTATTGAATAGTCGTCACTCCTCCTAAACATTCAAACCGTCTAACCCCGTTCTTCACCCTCGTGCGATCGAGTTCAAACCTTAATACGCGTCTAAAACCATATGTTTAATTTCAAATTATTTTCTTAATTAAATTACGAAAGAACTGAGTTCTTGGAGTCTCGCACTCCTTGAATTCTTGAGTAACTACTCTTGAGGCGTACGCTTTAGGTTGTGGGTTACTCGACCTTTCGTTTATAAAATACATGCCCTAATTACTTTGACAAATACCACCATTGTCCATTCAAATACACTTTCATAATTAATTGAATGAAAAAGGTATCATTGGGATCTAGCATTCCAATGATATCCCGATTAATCGATTGCGAGACTGACGTCTCGTTTATCGAATAGTCGTCATTCTCCATCAAATTACCTAACCAAACTCCTCTTTCTCGCCCCCCTGCGATCGAAACCTTAAACCTATTCAAACCCATTCTCTTTCCCAAACCAAAACATCTAATACGATAAACCTAATTCCTCGCCCTCGTGTGATTTCCAACTCCAACACCTTTTCCTATAGAACATTGTTTAGTCCCTTCTTCCGCGCATAACAAACTCGTGCTTCAGCCTCCCCTAGTGAGCAAACAAGCCAACGTTTAGCAGTTAGATTGCGACCTAAACTCTCGTTCATTCCAAACACAAACCTTTTAGCAAATCGTAAGCCGAACTACGGCTGCTCTGATTTCTCATTCCCCAATGAGAATACGTAGGCACAAGATTGCGATGATCTTGGCGAGCACAATCCCCTCCTTTTCCCGTAGTCCCACAAACTACGAATGCTCTGATTTTCCACTTCTCATAAGTGAAGATACGTAGGCACAAGGGCCCCAATCCTTGGCGAGCACCCTATCTTAAAACCACCCATTTCCCTTAGGAGAAAATCCTTAGAAGAAAACAAATAAGCTTAGCTAAATTTACTCTCGAATCGAATCAAGAGGTTCCCGTTGAGTACAACGGACGTGAGGGGTGCTAATACCTTCCCCTCATGTAATCGACTCCCGAACCTAGAATATTGGTTGCGATGACCATGTTCTTATCTCTTTAAAGGTTTTATCGATATTTTCCTATTCCTTCCTTGGAATGAATAAAGTTCGGTGGCGACTCTGTTCGAACGTTTTTTCCGCGTCCATCGCGAGGATCGTATTTTTCGAGGTACGACACCATGCCGGTAAAAGTCTTTCATTTGGTTCTTCATAATCTATTAAATCAATTTCTGACCCAAATTTCTTGAGAATTACATATTTAAAATTTTCCCAAGTGAAATTTGGATTGACCGAAATCCATAATTAGTACTGTGTGATGATGGCTTTACCACTCATTTACTCTGCAATTTTTGGTATTTGATCTTTGTTACATACACCTCCTGCATCTGCATGATCATCCATCCAACAACATCCCTTCCTTCATAAATTGGTATTTCTAATCGTAACTCGTTGAGTTCTCTTCTCCAATCTCTAATTTCTTTCAACACTTCATTAACAAGGTCAAACATTCCTTCCATTCTTGATGACAACTCCATTTTTCTCTGTTCTTTTTATATTTCCTCTCTCGGATTAGAAGTGTTCTGATACCAATTGATAGAAATTGATTGTTTACACAATAAAATTAAAGAATTTCAATATAGAGAGTTAACACACAAACACACTGACAGGACGAGTTTGGTTCCTTCCAAGAATTCGAAAGTCTTGGATCTCTCCCTTCCCAAATGTTCGAGAGTTGGGTCTCTTCCAATAACCACTCAATAACTTCCCGATAAAACTCTCTTTGTTCAGTGTCGCCCTTTTATAATTACACACCACCAAAAACTGAATGAACATAAATAATTATTGCTCACAGCAGTAACACTCCATTATGTAGTCACTAAGTAATTGACTCATAAATAGCAATAACTTTCCTAAAACTGATATAATCAGTTTAGTCCCTTCATCTTGTACACACTTAAATAAGAGGTCTAACAGAACGCAAGGTTTTAAACATTATGCCATCCTACTACTTATTACAAAGGAACATCATCTAATCAAAACCAAAGATGTAGTAAATATGAAATTTGCACCAAATTGTGATATTTCTTCGGGAACAATTGAGAATCAAATAGTGCTCTATAAATAATTAAATGTGACACTAGTTTGCAGAAGTACATGATGTTCTTAAAATTGTTTCTTTGTCATTTGTATCAGATATGTTGAATAGAAACAAAACAAAACAAAAGTAAAGCAGCACCATTCCCTCATCAAGGAAAACACCCACTCACAAGCATGTGAAACTGAGTTACACAATTAGGAGACTTGGAAATGCATTTAAAGTCACAAGACAACATTTATTCAATTGTCACAAAACCAAACCAGTACTATTTTATTCAATTGGCACAAAACCATACCAGTACACTATTTTATTTTTCCTTGAAACTAACTCAGTCAGGTAAAAGTAAACTTAGTTGACTTAAAAAAATGCAGATATATCGTTGCTTAAACTTAAATAAAAGAAAAGAAATATAGAAGCCATTAAGGCAAAAACCTTATAACTCCTACAAATCCTAATGCGAGGATGAAACAAATCCTGGCCATGTCAACAACCAGTTCAGAAGCTTCAAGCAGATCCAACTGACTTCCAGAGCTTGACCCACTCTTCCATAGCATCAGCGGCCTGCGAAAACATGGGATCCACCTTCCCAAGTTGTTCCTTCACTGATTTGGCCATCTCGACCACGCAGTCCTCTACAGTGATAGCTGATTGTGACAACCTTACAGACTGAAAGAAAGGAACAACATCCTCCATCAATTTCACCCCTTCCCATTCTTTCTTCAAGCTGTCTATGGCATTGCCTCTTTCGGTTCTCCAAACATATGGCAACCCACTTTTCACACCAAGGGCTAGGTGGTCGCATATAGCTTTCACACACAATCCACACCATATATCTTCCACAGTTTCCCACCTCAGTTTTCCTTCTCCTGCCAAAACCAAAGCCGGGACTAATGCCGGACCAATTGCTTCTCGGTTAAAGGCAATGTTGATTCCACTCACTGGCAACATGGCTCTCACAGGAACAGTCAGAACTGCATCTACATAACGTGAATTCCTCTGTGTTGGCTTGAGAGCTTGTGTTGGTGCATCAAGGTCCGCCAGATTGAGCCAAAGTCCACACGACAGAGCACAATCAACCCCACTCCGCAGACTAAATGGATAGCCGCGAACAAAATCCGCACCCTTACGGAATGGATCATATAGTGTATTGAAGAAGAATGGAGTGGCAGGAGTCTTGAGGTTCACAATATGCTGAGCCACAGCATCTACTAAGTTACCCGCATCATCTTTTGCCGGGACACAATCATCATCAATACAGACAACATACTTCTTCTTTGAAACTAGAAAGCCAAAATATCTACAAGCGTAGCCAGAGAAGCGAAGAGAAGTGGGGGAACCCACCACTTGCTCAATTTCAGATTTTGTATAGACATCTGCGTTAAATCCATCAGGAATTTTGAGTTCTCCATTGAGGTCTGGATCTTTGACAATTATCAGGTGGAAACGGGAGAAAACTGGCTTCCATTCATTCATAAAAGTTGTTAGGTCAGAGTGCAATGCACTGATCACAATGTCAACTTCGTTGTCGTTGATAATTACTTGAGACATCTTTTCAGGTATACAATACAGATGATTTCACAAACCGAAAGCCTAAATTGGTCTCCTTAGTTTAAAACTGATGAGTTGGATTCAAACTTCTGACTATACTTACAATCTTATCTTAGAATTTCTCAGAACATCCTGCATGATGATTTATTTACAAAGGTCAGAAAAGAATGTTAGTCACAATAAGAATAACTACCATTAATAAAGAGTAAATAGACATTTTAGTCATTGATATTGAAAATGCCTGTCAATTTAGCCCCCCTTAAATATGAGAAATAGTGACTTAATCCCTCATATTGAAAAATACCAATCAATTTAGTCATTTTATCAGATTCTATACTACAGTTTTAAAGGTTTTTACGCTTGTTATGATGCAGCAAAAGACTATTTAAGTCTATGTTTGGATATTTCAAAACGAACGGAGTGAACCGGAGTGGATCAAAATGAATATCTCATTCCATTGTCCGGATATTTTAGGATGGAATGTAACAAAAATGTTATTCCACCCTAATCACATAAATGAGGGTAAGTAATGGAATTGAACATCTTGTTCTGCTCCATTCCATCTTCATTTGACCAATCCAAACGAAGGAACACATCCTTATTTCATTCCATTCCATTGAACTCCATTAATCCAAACATAGCCAAAGTCAATATGTATGTTTTTTTTATTAGTTTTGATGAATGTTTAGGAAAGAAATATTTTGATGGAGGTACCACCGAATTGATTGATATTTTTAATTGAAGAGAGTAAAACCGTTGTTTTGCAAACTCAAGAGACTAAACCGACCGAACTCATGCAATTTCAAGGACTAAAATGACAATTTACTCCATAAACACAATAAAAAATTATAAAACAACTCACTGGTAGGAAGCACAGGGGTGATGATATGTCTAATATTCAATGCCTGAACAAGTGAGATTACTTCGTCCTTACCGGTTGCTATAAACAGTTTGAGAACTTTTTCAGTCAGTTTTCCTGCTTTCAATATTCTCTGCACATGAAAAATTAAGAAATGACAAAAAGAACAAACAAAAGATAAAGATTGAAACCAGATCAACAATATATCATCTCCAAATCATGGATTAAGCAGAATGAAAATGAATTAAAACTAAACCTAAGTAGTTATAACGATACTACAACAAGAGTAATTGAAATGGAACATTAACCCTAACCGTAACCCTAAATCTGAGAAAGTAGTAACTACCTATGAAGTTAGATAGAGAGAGAGAGGGAGGGGAAGAAGATAAGAATAAGAATAGGTACGAACAAGGAAGAGATCGAGGAGGATGTGATCAGGGATGGGAGAGAGATCGGAGATGTCGGAGAGATTGTGAACGGCCGAGTCAATGGTGAGAGAAAGCAATGATGGCGGTGTTATCATTCATTCATGAGATTATAAAATGATAAGCTATTTTTTCTCTCTCTGAAAATGGTGATTAAAGAATGGGTCGAGATCCTTGAAACGCTCTGTGACTGTGTTGTTTCCGTCCTCTCCTTGTTATGTCAAATTAAGCAAACTGTTTATCAAAACTAAATCAATTCATGAGTCGTGTAAAATAATTAAATTTTCTTTTTGGTCAAAGTTAATGATAAAGTAAAGGATAAAGATTTTTCTTTTTTGAGTTTATAACAAAAAATAATTGTTAAAAATAATTGTTTTTGAGCTCCCCCGGCTCTGGCCTGCTTTCAAGGTTGGATTCGGATTTTAAATACAAGGGCATTTATTATTTTATTGAGCTACTATTCGCACCCTCTTTTAAATACTCGCACCCCCTTTTAAATAAATAATTAATGTTTTTATAGGAAAAATAATATTTTTTGGCCCTTAACTTTATTTTGCGATTTTTGGTTTTTTAATTTTTAAAATATTCAAATCGATTTTTTAGGTATTAAAAACGGAACACGTGAGTTCTTTTTGTTTGTTTCCTCCAAACGGATGTTTGTGAATGACGACGTGGCAGATGACATGGTTGTTCTTCTTCATTTTCCTTCTGTGTTCAACTTTTAATTGATTTAGGAGCTAGTTTTTTAATAAAATTGATCTGGATTCACAAATATTGAAGATTAGGATTGTATCAGTGGTGAAATCAGGTTATGGTTCATCCTCCATGAAACAGAAAAGTCATGAAAGTTTGAAATCCAATGTGTTCACGAGCTCGAATCTTTCATGAGAATTGAGTTCTCATTGTGGAGACGCGGTTATTCTTCGTAGATCGACAACGGCAAAGAGTTATGGAAAACATTTTGAGATTGTTCTCATTTTAAGGTATGTATGTGTTATGTACAAGCAGTTTGTATGCTGATTACAATTTGAATTATCCATTGTTGAAGTTTAATTTATGTAAATTGTAGGGACCAATGCAGCCTGAGTGTGAGTATTTTGAACGGTTATATGAGGAAGTTTAAGATGAGAAAGGGCAAACCATAATGTATAGGTTGAAAAAGTTAGCAAAGAAATTGGATGATGCAACAATAGAGTTTGAAAAAGTTAGGTTGACAAATGAAAAATTAAGGAAAGAGATGAATCAGCTTCAAAATAAAATGAACAAGATTTTGAAGTGGAAAAAAAATGTTGGATGATGTTTGTTACTGTAATTTTAGCAGTTCTTTTTTTTTCTTCATGATTATTTGAAATGTTTAGGTTTACGTCAGTTTCCAAATTAATGGCATTTAGCAGTGAAATGTTTTGTTTTGTATCACTTAAACCTTGAAAAATTATGTTGTAGTTAAATGCTTTGGTTTGTATCAGTTGAATCTTGTGCCATTTAGCAGTGAAATGTATCATTTAAAACTTTGTTTAACTTGTTCAACACAGAATTTTACCATAACACATAATTTCTAAACTCTTGCTCAACACAGAATTTTACCATAACACATAATTGGCATTAACATATAAACTTGTTCAAAACACATTATAAAATGACAACATTCCAAAATGACATCCATAACCATAACACAAAATGACAGTATACCAAAAGTGATTCCAAATACATTTGAAACCATTAAACAACATCTTAAATACAGCTAAGATTTTTCTTGAGTGTGGTCCTCTTAGTTGGATTTATCCTCCTTGTAGTTGGGTCAATCACATTTTTGGCAGCACTTAGTCTTGTAGTAGGTTCAAAAGGAACAAAAGGTGTTGATGGCCTCCTAACACCCAACTTACTTGGCCTTCCTAGTGTTGATTGTTGAGTAGCAGGTGTGTCTCTAGTTATTGGCAGTTGAGAACCTTGTGTACCTCCAACAGTTGATGTTGCATGACTTCCTCCAGTTCTTGGCAGTTGATAACCTTGAGTAGCATGTTAATAACCTTTAATAGCATGTTGAAGACCTTGAGTAGCTTGCTAGGAACCTTTAGTTTGTTGAGTACATTTAGTAGTTGGTGTCACCTTACAGGTTGATTTGTTGTGTTCTAGTTGCTTGCACTTAGAACACCTGATTACAAACCTTGTTCTCCTCATTTTTTTCTCAGTCCTATCCAACTCCTCTTGCTCAATATTTCTTCTCTTCTTTGGTCTTCCAAGCATCCTTATATGTTTAGGAGGTTGCACATCTGGATATTTTGTTCTCACCCAGAGATTTGATTCATTTACAGGATAAATCACATGTGCATATACCTTCATGTACATTGACTTCCTATAATAATTAGGGATGTAATCTTCAATCTTAAAGTTCCTACTTTTCATACATGACAATGCATGAACACAAGGCAGACCAGTTAGTTCCCACCTTCTGCAACCTAACTCTTTTAGTTCACCTACCAACTCAAAGTAACTACATTTATCAACAGCTACTTTCAACTCATCAACTTTCCCTCCTTCATACACTTTAAGACCACCATCAATGAATTCGCCACTATGATGAAATCTTAGTACTAGAAACTCGTCCATTTCATATAGTTAGTTCAAAATCGAGATTAATAAGCAAACTGTTATGACACCCTAGAGTTATAAAAAAAACTAAATTTGAACCACTACAAGAACGAAAACATGCAAAGCCCTAAAAGTACCATTCTCATATTAAAAATATCAAAACCCCTAAATTTGTAGCACTAACTGAACGAAAACGTGATAATCTATGAAAACATTAAAAACTTTAATTTCTACCACTATCAAAATTGATACAAAGCATCAAATTTCTAACCTGTTTGTAACGATGCTTTCAAACGCTCGCTCAGCCTTTGATCTCGCTTTCAAGAACACATGCAAAATGATGGATTTCACCTTCACTTCACTTTCTAAAAATGGATTTTTCACAATAGGTTGAGGATATATAGCATGTTATAGCCACATAAGCCATCAACTAAGCCACTTGGACAGTCTTTCTGAACCCTCACTAACGGAAATAGACGAAAGGACAAACGTCCTTCGTTTTTAATACTTAAAAGATTGATTTGAACATTTTAAAATTTAAGGGACCAAAATGGACCTCGGGGTAAAGTTAATGGATAAATAGGGGTATTTTTCCTTTTTATACTAATAATATTTTGCTCCAATTTTTAATGGTTAAAAATAGTTATGGGTTCGAATCCTACTATGTGCTAACAATTTTTGTGTTAGGACTGTTCATATAGAATTTTTTTGTATTTAAATGGATTTCTTACTAGTTTCCGGGGGAATTGATTATCTTGAATTAATCAGTCTCAAGATAGGATACCAAGATTTCATTAAAAAAATAGTTAGGAGTCGTAACTTTGGTAATGTGGTTTATTATTATGGTTTTTCTAATTTTATGTTCACTCTCAACTTTATTGTCAAAAATTATATTCAATTGCACGATTATGCAACCATAATTCTATATATTTTAATACTTGTTAAAATTTGACTGGAATGTTCTAATAACTCGCACTTTAAAAGAGAACAATAATGGTGATGTCTTGTTAGTTGAATTGGGATTGTTTGACTATAAGTTTTATCTTTTAACAATATCCTTCTTTAGAGTTTGGTATTGCTTGGTAGTGGAATCAGAATTGCTCAGCGGACAGGAAAGTAGTGTTTGTCACAGTGGATTTAAGTTTTCGATATGGTGGAGAAAGGGCTAACCTACGACATTATCACTCCAAAGTCTAAGTCGGTGAAAGAAACAAGATGATGTGAGAGTGATAATGAATTTGAATATGTAATAATGATGTGTTTTCCATTTAAATAGTGGGAACAATTTAAAATGTATAGCGTGGAGTGAAGTGTGGATCGCAGTCATCCATCTGATTAATTTGGATGGTCAGTAGTGCTTTTGATGGCGGAATTACCTGCTTTAGAGAAAATAGAGGTCTACATGTTCTTCACCCTTACTGTAACAGCCTAATTTTCATTAATCAATTATTTATGTTAATTAATTAATTTATTGAAATTATTGGATGATTATTTAAAGGAATTGGTAGATATTTTGAGAGAAGAAATATTGGAGAGAAATAGAAGGGAAAGATATATAAGAAAAAGTGGAAGGAAAAGGAAAGGATAGTAACATAAGAGAAAAAGAAGAGAAAGAGAAGAGAAAGAAAGAGGAAGAGGGGAAAAGAGAAGGAAAAGAAGGAAAAGCTTGGAAAGCTCAAGAACAACTTCTAGCTTTCGATTAATCAAGGTAAGGGTGTGAAATCTTATTATTCTATCAATGTGTATGATTATGTATGTGTTTGTTGGGTTGGTTTGGATTGTTGGAGAGTTTTTGCTCATTTTCCATTTTAGGGCAGAAATGAGTGTAATCGATAGAAACCGATGTTTTTGCGGATGAAACTCGAAATAAATTGCATAGTTTAGTCAGGTAATATTTAGTCGTGATTATAGGATTTCGTTTGGTTGAATTTGGTTGAATTTGTGAGTTTTGACATTTTTGGAAAATTGGAGGTTAAGATTTTGGATGAAAATCGGAAGTCGTAGAATTTGCGTTTTATGATCCTAAATTGTTACTATATGATTGGTAATGATGAGTAGGTATTTAATCGGGAGAAAATAATTAAATCGGTCGGGTTTTTGGGGGTTTTGGGCACAAACCCGTAGCTTGTTTTTCCAAGTTTTTCAGGTGTTAATCGGTTAACACTATGGGTTAACCGATTAACGGTATAAAAATGGCCTAAAACTGAGTTTTTGGAGGCGTTAACCGGTTAACCATATCCGTTAACCCGTTAACATTGTAAGTGTGAGAAAAATATTATTTTTTCAAAACTTTGAAAATTCATAACTTCACTGTTTATCGGATTTTGTCGTTCTTTATATCAAACTGAAGCTAATAATATGTTCTATAACTTGGTGAAAAGAAATATTATTTTTAACCGACTTTTATCCGATTTTACCGATTAATCGAGATTAATTATTTTAAGTAAGTGAGCCTTAAATAATTAAAGCGTTTGGTTGCCGTTTGGCATAATTGTTGTGAATGCATATT